AAATAAAATACATACAAAGCAAAACACAGCTAAATGTATCAGAAGTATGTCTATGTAATAGGATTTTCTGAGACAATGAATTTTGGTTTTACATTTTTTCCCCCTGTACGAGGTTTTTATTTAATAGAATTTTTGGACAAAAAAAATCGCAATATATCACCTTGCTTATAGTATCGCAATATATCGGGATATATCGTATCGTGACCCCTCTGTCATGATATGTATCGTATCGCCAAATTCTTGCCAATACACAGCCCTAAGATTTACACACAAAACTAAATTTCAGCTCCTGGGAGTTTCCTGAGTTTTTGATGAAATCCTCTTTATTTATTCTGCTGGCTTTTGTTTCTGGTCCAATAAAACACACCAGCGGAGTTGAACTTAAGGTTTGCCCCTCCCTATGCCTTGACTTTACAGCCTCTGAGAGAAGTATGAAGTTTACTGTTGGGGAACCCCAGGAGGTGTCTGCTCAGAAGCTCTGTGACATCAGAGAGGTTGTCTGGTCATTCTTGGGTTAATTTATTTGTGAAACTGAAGCTTGTAGCCCTCTACTCATTTGGACTGTTTTTAAGTCGAATCCTATCCTTGTAGAGGGCTGATGCTCGCATGCTGTCTGGACAGAGTCAGATGGGTAACAGACATTGGACCTATCACAAACAGCTTGAGCAACGCCAGGAGAAATTACTGGATTAATTGATTTGAAAAGGATTTGCAAATCATTGTATTCTATTTTTGTTTTACAGAACATCCCAAATTCATTGGGACTTAGTGTTGTATTGTGCATGAAATGTAGCAGTTGTTAATGGAAGGACAGTTGACACTAATGAAGCTTAGCGTTCATGATCTATAGTCTATTCTTAGCTTAATCATTTATTTTATTTTTATTTTTTTCACTGTTTTCCAGCATATCGTTACCCAGAGGGAACGTTTTCTGATCCAGTTGGGTTTATGTGAATAGTGAGTGAAGATCACACTAGATGAACCAGTCCTAATTTATTACAACACTCGACCACAGCAATATTCTGAGCTGAAGTGATCCTCTTCAACGGTAAAGATGATGGAAGAGAGTGGAATTGAGACGACACCTCCTGTCAGCCCAACACCTCTGACACAAGCCTCTGCAGTCAGCAGCCCACCAATCACTGCTGGTAAGTTGCAGCTTACAGAAACGCTTTGTTTCCGGTTTAGCTAGTTTAATCTTTAAAGCAGTAATTTGTTAAAGGATGATCGGTTACAGAGGTAAAAACAGATTTATTATCCCCCCGAAACTATGTATATGCACTTGTTAGCTAGAAATGCTTCAAAAAAGACAATGGGCCTCATGCAAGAACATGTTCGTATTCTTATCCTAAATTTCTCTTACTTTTGTTCGTACAAAGGGTTCGTACGAACATGTCACGTC